CCTATTAAACTGTCTTTATCTCAACCCACGAGTTTTCTCACTTTTGCCCTTCTGATTCTCTCCTCCATCCCCCTGTGGGGGAGTGAGCGAGCGGCTGTGTGGTGCTTAGTTGCCGGCTGAGGTTAAACCATGACAGTCAGTTTCATTAAATTTTCAACAGTTTTGTTGGAATCTCAAACTTCATCGATTAAAAAAAAAAAAATAAAAATTAAAAATCTTACTAGATGATGTTACTCAGAGGTTAAAATAAATGGGGGGGGGGAGGAATAAGTGCCCATGACACTTCTTTGCCGTACTAGTATACTAGTTTGAAAACAGATTGACTATTGCAAGGCATGGGTAGGCTTTTGATAGATTTCTCTATGTACTTGTGATATCCTTAGTGTACTTTTGGCAGGTAAGTAGTAGTAACTGCAACACTCCTAACAAATAGTTGCACTGGTCCCTGAGTCTAAAGTAGAATTTCTTCTTTATAGTTCTTTGTAAGTAATAAATCAGGATATATTTCATATGTTATACTGTGCCCATATTAATGACTCTCTGGAAATACGATAACTAATAGATAACTTTCCCTTTTCATAAATCCAGTACTGTAGTAAAAAAGCTCTGAAGCATCTGAAAATTGGGGAAGCAATAAAACACAGTATTTGTTTTACTGTTTTCTTGAAGTACATTGTTCTCTACTGAACACCAGAGACGTTTACCAGAAATAAGCTTCACTCAGTGAAGTGTACAGACTAATAAGAGTTGACTGGTTTGCGGTAGGTAGTGCATTTTTTAGGCAAAGGCTTCCTGTTCTTATAGATAATTCCAGAATATCCCTATTTTTGTAATCCTTTTGTCCTTAGGACTTTATCTACCAGTGATGATGTTGAGGACCGAGAGACTGAGAAAGGCCGCCTGGAAGAAGCTTATGAGAAATGTGACCGGGATTTGGATGAACTCATTGTCCAGCATTACACCGAGCTCACCACTGCGATCCGCACATACCAGAGCATCACAGAGCGCATCACCAACTCGCGCAATAAGATCAAACAGGTGAAGTCTAGCTTTGCATGTGTTTGCATCTGCTCGATAGCGTGTACTCTGGGTACGAATCTGTGCACCTCCTCTATCTTTTTCCTGTGTACTGTCCTTTTATTGGTAGTGTAATGTAAGCTCCCATTTTAACCTTTTATTTCTCTCTCTCTCTTTTCCCAGCTACTTGTCATCATTCTGAACTGAACTAAAAATTGAATTGAAAAAGCACTGTTACCCACTAATTCTGAACTAGGCCTGATTTTCAAGTCGCTCTGTGGCATGGCTAGGAGTGGACCATCCTGTTCTAATGCAGTGGTCACAGGTTATGTCTTACTAGCAACATGTTTTCCATAGGATATCTCTCTGTTGTCTGAGAACACAAGTAATTGAAAAGCAAAACGAGAGATGGATATGAAGCGCAAAGCTTTGCGGTGCCCCCTGTTCATTTATTGTCTGGACATGTTGCTATCAGGTTTTTGAAGTCTAAGGGCTGCTAAGCTAACACCTTTCCATCTAATCTGTTCATGTTTTGATATGTTGGCCTCCAACCACCTCCTAAATAGTCTGGGTGATTCATCAGCTTGCTTTTCGCTCGGAGAATATGAATTTTGCTGCTATTTCCAAACTCAGTTCTGTTGTGTGAATGTACATGAACTCTGTGCCCCCGTATCTTTCAGTATTTTGAGTGCTCACACATCGGTAGCGTGCCAGTAAATAACTCTGGCGCTCTTTGTTGTGGACTTGTTCCATCTGCTCTCTCCCTGCAGCGATAGATTAGTTCTTTGGACTCCTGTCCTATCTTTTACTTCCTGTATAGTTTGCTATACCTAAACTTTGCAAACTAGGCACCAAATTTATTCTGTGTTTTTTTTTTTTCCCTGGCTATGTGGAGGCCTCAGCTTAAAACCTTTCACAGCAGTGCTTTAGGAGCAGTAGGCTTTTACCCTTTTGGGGCTATGTACTGACCCTTCTGGCTTTTAAAATTCATTTAGCATTTTCAAAGAAAATGAGACCATTCTGATGTTTTCCAAGGGTAAGAGTTCATTCTAGGATTTATGTACAAAGCTCAGCACTTTGAAAGCAGAGATCAATTGCACTAAATTTGAAATAAACTGTAGCCAGTGGCCTATTTTCACACAGTATACTAAGCTTTGCAGAGGTCAAAACAAACATATAGGGGTGTGACCTTTTGGTCCTGCCTAGAAGAATGACTGTAAAGGTGAAGGACCTTTTGATATTTAGGTTTTCTTATTAGGTTTGGTCAATATGTATTGAAGTAGCTTTGACCTAATCTCATGGGAGGCCCCAGATCTGGTTTGTCATCAATCTGTATTGCACTACCAGACTTTCTTTTGGTGTTCCCCTGTTGTGGAAGGTAGATGATAGCACAGGCATTTACTTGCATTGCGAACTGTGGAAGTGATAGATAGTCCAGATCCCTCTGTGTATGTACCTTTTGTAGTCAATTCTTGTATGAATTCCTGTTGGGAAAGGCTTAGTTTTAAATCTAGCTTTAGAGGTGTTAGTGCTGTAAAACTGAATTGTAAAGAAGAAACAATTTGGCCTACGAAGGGGAGGTTCTTTCTTAAAGACTTGCTGTTCATCCCTTCCCTTGCTCCAAAATGTAGATACAGTTGATTTTCCTTCTTGCAAGGACAGGAGTAGGAATGTCTTGTGAGATTCCTTCTAGCCCCACGATTGTTTTGCTGACCTAATTTGGCTCTATGTAACAGCAGTCCACTGATGGTGGTGTGCTAGGTCAGTGAAACATTTTAAATTAAGGTATTGAAAAGGGATTAAGTCTGAAATGAGCTCTGTATGCAGTTTAGTTTGCCTCTGCTTTTGCAGCAAGTTATAATGCTCTTACAGTCGCTTGTCTGTTGGCTGAGGCTGAGGATTTTTCTATGTTATTCTTTTCAGAAGGACATTTCAGAGTGCAATGTTGTTGTATTGAAATCTTAGTCTCTTCTGACTCTGGATGGAGGCTGTCTTATGTAGCTATTGTTAGTTACCGGTTGTCTGTATTCTGGTCCATCTATGTGTGTCACATGTATTTTTTTAAACTGCCTTTAGATGGACAAGGGAGGAGAATGTGCAGCTGAAGTGGGATTTCTGGAGTGCTTTGAAGGCTCATTATTTAAAAATAAATTGAAGGGCCTACTTCTGAGAGTCTCTCTTCATGTGTAATGCAGTGAGAGTTCAGCCTGAGAAAAGGTTGGACCCTAAGTATTCATAACTTATCACAAAAACAAGAGTAGTGTGAAAGCAATGTGTGAAGCTGTGTTGTTAATTGCTTCCACATTTTAATATGTATTATTGATTTGCATTATGCAAGAAATGCTAGGTTATACTGACCTTTCCAGAGGATATCGGGAGAACCTGAAAGCAGGGAACGCGGGCTGTGCGTTTGAGCAGAAAGAATGGAGAAGAAAAACTCCTGATATTTCCCGAATGGGGTAGAACAGTAGAGACTTTGCCAGAGAGAGAGAGTCTCTCTAGTAGAGACTAGAGAGGATGGCATGAGGCTTGAGAACAAACTGAATGGCAAACACCAGGGTGTTTCTCTGGGTGACGTAATGGCCTTGATAAATAATGGAAATGCTGAATTGCACTGTACCTTAATGCTATTTGTTCCGATGAAACCATATCTGGTTTCACCTGGCAAATTGGTATTGCTCGAGGTATTAGGAAAATGGTTGTACTCTTAGATAGTCAGATTTTAAGAAATGGATACCAAACTTGAAGAAAGGAGGAGACGTGCCAAAAGATTTAATAGGCAGATGGAAAATGTTTACAGCAGAAAAATTAGTAGTGGCTTATTTGCTTTCACTGAAAATTGGATTCTTGCTGTATGCCAAAATACTGAATTGATTTTTGGAAAATGTGCAAATAAGTCTTTGGTCATGGTTAATAGGATCCTGCGTTTGTTCACGTTATGATAGTTCAGTTAAATTTTCACTGGTGGTACAAAACTTGTACTAAAAAACATTTGACTATGAAAGCAGTTCCAGTTTGTATGTACTCTGTGTTTCCCTTCAGCCAAAGGAATAACCAGAAATTTTAAGGAACTTGGATTTGGTTATAGTCTCGTTATATTTTTGGAATTCCTAATAAAGTAAATGTGGGAAAGGGCTGATCTGTGTTAGAAGTGCCAGTTACAGGGACAGATTTAATTAATCTTTTGACATGTTGCTTGTAGGTGAAGGAGAATCTGCTATCATGCAAGATGCTGCTGCATTGCAAGCGGGATGAGTTGCGCAAGCTGTGGATTGAAGGGATTGAGCACAAACATGTCCTGAATTTGCTGGATGAGATAGAGAACATCAAGCAAGTGCCTCAGAAGCTGGAACAGTGCATGGCCAGCAAGCACTACCTCAACGCAACAGACATGCTGGTAAGACATGATACCTCGTACTGGGCCAGAACCCACTGGAAACGCACTGGTCAGCTGTCTGATCATCTGCAGACAGAGCTGCTGTCTGTGTTATTACTTGCTTTTTTTTTTCCTGCTTAGTTTCTTCTTTTGTCATTTGCTGCTTTCTTATACTGGAATTTCCATTTGGTTTTGTTTTGATCCTTCCTGACTGGACTTAGGGTCACAGTTTCCCATCCTGTTTGGTTAGCTCTTGTCTTTCAGAGCTGTCTTTACCTGTTCAATTGTCGTGATCCTGATGCTTTCTGTAACCATCTAGTTCTTTACCCATTTGATCTGCACATAGGATTTCCTTCTGCTTTGGCAACCTGGTGCTTTATTTTAAAATTAATTTCCCGGACACCTGCCTGTATCATCGTCTTTCTTTATACCTTATCAGTTATTTCAAAACCATTTTTGTTGTGGAAGAGCTATCCTGTTTCTCTGCTATTTCATCTCCCAGAACGCACTCACAACTTTGGTCGTTATTCAGAGGGAAGACTGTCTTTCACCGTTTAGGTGTGTTTGCCTCTCATTGTCTTCCTCTAGGTCTTTTACCAGGACTCTTAATCCTTTCTACTTATTTCCAGCTCTTTTTTCATCTTTTTTCTCTCTCCCTTTGGGTGTTCTTCCTTTTCAGTTCCATCTCTTTTATAAGCATGCCTTTCAATTCCAGTCTTGTGGTGGAGGTAGAAGTTGCCTGAACTTGTCTAATAACAATCTTTTTTTCTTTTTCTCTTGTTTCTAAACTTAACAAGCACACTTCCTCACCAGGCTCCAGTCCTTTCTTTCCTGGAACTGTCTTCTACGAGTAATTAAAATCTTCACAAGGGAGGACATCCTTCCCCTCTACTCAGTCCTGACGTGTGGAGTGCTGAGTCCTGTTCTGGGCTCTCCAGTACGAGAAGATGGAGGTACTGGATTGAGTCCAGTGAAGGATCACAAAGGTGGTTAAGGGACAGGAGCATCTCGCATTTAAGGAGAGACTGAGAGAACTGAGACTGCTTCACTTAGAGAAGAGAAACCTCGGGGAGATCTTATCAGTGGTTATAAATGTCTGATGGGAGGGTGCAAACAAAACAGAGCCAGACTTTTCTCAGTGGTGCCCAGTGACAGAAGAGGCAATGGACACAGATTGAAACATAGGAAATTAGTCTGAACATAAGAAAACACTTTTTTTTTTTTTACTGTAAGGATGGTTGAGCACTGGAACAGGTTGCCCAGAGAGGTTGTGGAGTCTCCATCCGTGGAAAATTTTCAAAACCAGACTGGATGTGGTCTTGGGCAACTGGCTCTAGGTGACCATGCTTGAGCAGGGAGGTGGCTTAGATGTTCTCTAGAGGTCCTTTCCAACCTTAAGCAGTCTGTGAGTCAAAAGTGGAGGCAAAAGTATGTCTGTTCATATTCCTCTTTGTGTTTGCCAGAGAACGCTTTTAAGGAAACCTTTTCATTGCCTTCCTTTGTTATTTTTTTTTTAACTTTACTATCCTTTGTATTTCTCTTAGCTGTGCCTCTTCACTTCTTTTTAATAAGTCGTTATTCAACAGGATAAAGAGCTGGAAATCTTAGTGTTGTCGCCTCCTATTCTTAGAGCCCAGACTTGAACTTTAATTTCCTTCGTTCCTTTTTATCTCATTTTACCTTTACCTGTCTAAAACTTACCTTGTTCCCTCTGAAACATTTTCAACAGTTTGATGTCAGTCTCCTCATCCCTTTCTCTGATGGCATGTGTAACTCTGTCTGGATTTTTGTTGTTGCTGTCACATCCTCTTGTGTGATTTCACTCTGCTGGCACTTTCCTTTTTTTTTTTTCTGTTGCTCATGTTCTTTTTTCGTGCCACACCTGGTGCAATCATCTTTCTATAATCTGATCACAATTTTCCCTTTCTTCCTTTATGAAACCATCTTCCAGGAACCCTCTCAATCTTACTCTCCTTAGAGTCTCACTGTCCTTCTAATAAGAATTATTGTCTTATCTTTCCCACCGTATTGTAAGCCGCCTGGGATGGGTAAATGTATCCATTTCTGTTGTGTAATGTAGAGTGGAATTTTTATGATACTTTATAAAATGTTATGTAAAACCTATTAGAGTTCCTGAAAACAGATCAGCAATGCAATGACTTGAGGCAGCACATATGAGAAGAGTGCAGTCAGGTTTTGCCAAAACTTTTGTCAGGTTTCTGATATAGGAAATTGGAGCGTGGTGTGCATCGTGATATTTTCCATTATGAGAGATAAAGAAGTAGATGTAAATGAAGGGCGTTCAGTGTAAGGGGGGAAAAACATGGTATTCAGCGTTAACATCAGTATCAATTGAAATGTTGGTGCTTTCTTTTACTGATGTACTTACCAGTTTGTTTGGTTTTTTGTTGTTGTTTGTTTTGTTTTGTTTTTTAAATCCAGAAAAGTTCTTTTCAGAAGGAAATTCCAGAAAAGTAATTAATTTCCTGTCTGGAATATAAGATAGGAAGTGTATGAAGAAAAATAACGATACTTAGGATTTATCATGTAATATGCTTTAGAAATGGTTTGCAAGATGTGTATTTGTGATATCTTACTGGTTTGCAATATATTGTGTGTGCAGGTTTTTATATATACACTTATATACATACACAATACGTACGTGTGTGTAGGTAAGGTTGCCCAAGGCTATAAGAGAGAGCCAATATTTGACCTTACTGAAGTATGGACTTCTGTAGTATATGATGCTGTTTTTTGTTGTTTGGGTTTTTTTTTTCCCAGAATAGAATATCTTTTCTAAGAAATCAAATGATAATAATATAAAAAGCAGTTGTTAGGGGTTTTTTTTTTAATATATCAAGGAATGCAGAGAAACCTCAAGTGAAAATTGAACACACTATTTCAGCTGTTCATTGACACTTGCAATTCTCATTTGAAGACAAGTGTACCTGTAATAAAGAATAGCAACCTACCTGCATTTGGAGGTTTTTCATAGTCAAAAATCTCTGTAGGCTCATTGGCTTTTGCCATCTTCTGTTAACAGTGCCTCTGCAAGGCTGTGATGTTGTATCACTCACTGGCTGCAGGATAATTCCTTTCTCCTTTTATATGGTATGAATATTATGTAAAATAATTACTAAACTGTCAGGGATGCAGGGATATAGATCTCTCTGTCCTTTTGTTTCATTCCTCAAGGTAAACAGATGCTCATGGCTTATAAAAACCCCAGAGTGATCTGACAAGGAGCTTGTATCCCTCACATTGAAATTGGAGCAGTGATTAATATTGTTGCCTGTAGCCTTGTGATATGTACAGTTGAAATTAGACCTTTGCAGCAGTCGTGTTAGGTTGATGCACGCACTCTAATGGCATCATTTCTGGTTGCTGTATCACATTTCTGCAGTCTGTTCTTTGTATTCCACTCACATTAATTGAAGTAATTTTGCCACTGAAGCGTGTTTCAAACCTCTGCATTTAAATTGAAATTTTAATTCTCTTATTGTTTGGAAAAGACGGCTGAAGATGGCTTGTTACAGGTTTCATTATCACTCAAAACTCTCCAGCTGCTGGTTCTAATGTGCAATGACTGAGTAATGCTGGGAACAATTGTTAATAAAAGAATGGCAGCTTTTCCCAGTAGTATGAACACAATGCAAAGGTATTTTGTGACAGCTTACATTTGTATGAAGTTAAAATTTTTAAGTGGCAGCTTTTTTATTTCTGATTATGTATCCATCTAGAGTAGCACAGATGAGCTTCAGATATCATGTATTCATGTTCTGTGTTCCTCCAGCATCTTGATAATACACACTCCGGTGAGCAGAGCTGGTAGGATCAGGTTTGTTGTACTGTAATTGCACCTTACACAGGTTGTGTTAAAAGAACCTAGTTCCAACCTCCTTTGAATTGTGAAGCTTTGGAGAAATTAGGAGGGTCCAGAACAGATAGAACTCCTGTTGGAGATCAAATACATTTTGGTTATTGTCAATTTCTGTATACGGTTCTTTTAAAGTATGAGTTTGTACATTTTTCTGCAAAGGACCTGATTTTTCATGCATTGAATTGCTAAAAGTAATGTTCACTTTTATGTGGCAGTTGAGTACACATGCATGCATCTGTGTGTATTTTCTGTTTAACATAAAACAGAAAAAGGAAGCTCAGGGGAGACCTCATCGCTCTCTACAACCACCTGAAAGGAGGTTGTAGCGAGGTGGGGGTCAGTCTCTTCTCCCAAGTAACAAGCGATAGGACGAGAGGAAACGGCCTCAGGTTGTGCCAGGGGAGGTTTAGATTGGACGTGAGGAAAAATGTCTTTACTGAAAGAGTGGTGAAACATTGGAACAGGCTGCCCAGGGAAGTGGTTGAGTCCCCATCCCTGGAGGTATTGAAAAGATGTGTAGATGTGGTGCTTAGGGACATGGTTTAGTGGTGGACTTGGTAGCGTTAGGTCTGTGGTTGGACCTGATGATCATAAAGGTCTTTTCCAACCTAAATGATTCTATGATCAGGTGCTGACAGGGGAATTCTGATGCAGAAGGAGCTTCCTAAGAAAAGGCAGTGGGCAGTCTCCAAAAGGGAGAGCAGCAGAGCTGGTGGCAGTGTCGTGGTTTAACCTCAGCTGGCAACTGAGCACCACACAGCTGCTTGCTCACTCTCCCCACCCCTGGTGGGATGGGGGAGAGAATTGGAAGAGTAAAAGTGAGGAAACTCGTGGGTTGAGATAAAACCAGTTTAATAATTGAAATAAGATAAAATAGTAATAATAATAATAACAATAATAATAAAAGAACACACAAAGCAAGTGATGCACAGTACAATTGCTCACCACCCACTGACCGATGCCCAGCCAGTCCCCGAGCAGCGGCCCCCCCGGCCAGCTTTCCCCAGTTTATGTACTGAGCATGATGTCCCATGGTGTGGAATGTCCCTTTGGCCAGTTTGGGTCAGCTGTCCTGGCTGTGCCCCCTCCCAGCTCCTTGTGCACCTCCAGCCTTCTCAGTCGGTAGAGCATGGGGAGCTGA